TACGGAAATTCTAATGAATGATATGAGCTGAACATTATTTAAACTAATGACATGCAAATGTGTAAAACATGATGATAAATGCTAATAAAAACTACCCTAAAAGATGCATGAAATGGCATCTATCAAATCTCCTAAAGCTTGAACCTTACTTGCCAACAAGTAATAAATAACTAATCATTATAACTGAATGGAAATATGTAGATGACATAAAAGAACTTGGAATAAAATAAAGGAAACTAAAAACTTGAACTAAAAATACTTCACTCTTTTTTTCACAAGATCAGACTTAACACCGAGGGAAGCTCTAATGTAATCACTACTTAGACGATTATCACAATACCTTCCATCTTTCACAGATTCCCACAGTCAGGAAGAAGCTTGACGATGTGAACCAATAAACCAATTGTAACTTTTATATAAACTTTATACCTTAGTTATCCTTACAAGCGATAATAACACATTTCAGAATTTCATGTTCGCAAAACTAGATAATTAAGAACCAGGCTCGACGCATCCTTAAGAACATGTCACGTTAAATCAGTTTTCACTAAAGTCGTGGGCCACACCTGTAGGGACCTAGCTCATATGCTTTCACTTTTATGAGAACAACAAATATCATATCACACAATTCTTCATTTGTGCTAGATTTAACTTTGATATGGTTTCTGAATTGATTGAAATTGATTCTTTGTATTTTTATCTTCAGCTTGAGTTCTTCAATCGTCTTTTAAATTTCTTGAGATTTCTTTGATTAAGGGCTTAAAATTTAACTATCAGATATGATAGTTTTACTATTTGTTTCTTTTTACTATGTGGATATGATATAAGGTTCTTTGTTGCTGCGAAGGTAACGCGTGTCAACAAATAGGTACATGTTCTATGGGTCCAGACTTGTCAAGCAAGGTTCTTTTTAAACATTCAAAAGAAAATAATTCTCAAACTATTATTACGAGCCACGAAGTGTTTCGGTACACCATTTTTTTATTGTTTTATAGCTAGCATCTCAGCTCACGGTGTTTTGCAACCCCTAGTTATGAGAACCATTACTGAACTTACCAATATTTATCTGATCGCTTCGGACTTTCATTTTCCATTTCAACTTCGTTTTCGGTGTTCTTTATATGCACGGAAAGTTATTGAAGAGCCCCACAATCCTATAACTACTTTTGAATTAAAACATACCGAACTAAAATCCTTATTCCATGAAAGAAGTCTGAAAAATCACTTTTCCCATTTTACCCTTTAACTCCAAAACACAAACCAAGGGTTTGGATCTCATAACCATTATTATCAATATCCAATAAGGCCTAAACCCTATTCCCATGAAGCTCAAGACTATTACTTGACCCATTTATTTTCCATAGTCCCGAAATAAGAAACTTCTCGAAACAGGATGCTACAACTATCCCCCACTTAAACTGGATTTCGATTTCGTCCTCGAAATTCGTCTTGTTTAGGATCTCTTAAACAACACCAACATATTCCATAAGCTCCCTCTAACCATTTAGAAATCAAGTAATCTTATAAAGAAAACTCGAGAGACCACTCGGAAAGCCATAGTTGCCAACAAACAACCCAATAATTTGAAAATGCTTAACCGCAACAATTTTCTTTCTCTCCCTAACTGCATGACCCATGTTCCAGAGAAAACCACTCAAATCGGGAACTCTCAGAACTGAAACCACAAACCAATTCCAATAATATACTCCCCAAAACCGGGAACCCATCAATCTACACTTCAGGAACCATACCCCGAGGACTGATGATCCTCCAATCATTGTACCTACCCCCAATTCCCTGACTAGGAACACCACCAAAACCATGTGGAAAGAATACTTAAAACACCCTGATCGTGAATTTCACCCAATCCCATTTGCAGAAATTATGCCCAAAACCCTTAAATACACACTTGCCTTTCTTGACAAGTCATCACCAACCCACTGCTCCCACGAGTGCAATAATGGTAAATCCAAAAATCTCACGTTGCATCTAAATCCTTCAATATCTCAGGTTTACCTGCACCTAAAAAACACTCAAGACATTTACGACGAACTTCATGACTCGAGATTTCAGAACTGATACCTAACATTGGTAACCAACCTCCTAATAGACAGCCCGCAAGCAAACGGGGTTCATAATGCAAACATCCAGCAAGAGACTTATGATGCACAATTAATACTCCAAACAAAATTTTACTGTCCACATGATCCAAACCGGTTAGTCACTGAGTTACCCGACTCCTAAAAGTCCCAAATCCTAACACTTGTGTATGAATCTATTGGAAACGTGGAATAATAACACAAGTATTTCACAAAGATGTCTTTCACTAAAAAAGGTTCTCACAAAGAGAACGGGTGCACAAAGCAGTTAACACAAAGTTGTCACAAAGACCTAATTAGGGTTTACCATAATACATGAATATATACTATTCTATTGTAGTGAATCCCTTCAATCAAGGGTTTGTATCTAATCTAAATATAAACTCATCTGGTATATAGGGAATAGATCTGATAAGATCTTCAAAGATCAGATCAGATCTTTAGAATACTTCTTCACTGAGAAAATATGATCAACTCCATATTTGGACATCAACACCAGCACATCAGATGTTGATCAGAGCATCGGTATTAATGTTTAGGAGTCATCCATTGATCAACTTTATCTTTAGCTCATGTAGCTTCAGCTTCAGCAGATAGTGTATGGTCATCAACGTGTATCAATAGTGTAGAAGAAGAAAAGATTTTTTGCTTAGACGCATGGAATTGGCTAAGCATTTTATTCGAACAAATATAAAACCAAAATGGATGGTTTTGCGTCTATTACCAGTTCTTCCTCCTGAGTTCATCAGTGTAAGATCTTCAGCGTATGGACACACTGATCAGGTCTTCAGTTAATGTTATTTAGTAACTCTAATGCTAATAGCATCTTCAGTATCTTTTGATCATCAGGGGATGATCTTCAGTCTTCGACGTAGGAACTTCCGTCAGCATATCATAAACTATAACTATAATATATATTTTTTGCATCATCAAATCTATACAACTATGTAACCCAACAATCTTTCCTTAGTTGATTATGTCAAAACCAAACTAATAAAGAATGAAATAATAAATGAACTAACTACATATGAAGTAGAATGCTGACATGTGCTCCCCGTTAGATTTAGCTCCCCCTCAAATAAACAACATCTAAGTTTTGCTCCCCATTAGATTTATAGCCTTCTTCTTTCTTGAGTGTCTTCTATTCAAAGAATGATGAAGTAATAATGTAGCAGAACTAGACATTTCTCCTCCTTTTTGACAACATCAATAATCATTGCCTTCTTTTTGATATTTTTAAGGAGACAACAAGTAACCTGAAAGAAAATAAAACACCAAATAAAGTTAAAGGACGGGAAGGATTTGGTGTATCACACTATTATGTTGTTGCAATAGTAGATCATTTACACATTTTTTTGTAGTCTCATCGGTGTATGGGTCTATACGTTGAATCATTAACTACTTTTATTAGAAGAAAAAGGGCGAGAGTGGAATGATGTGTGTAATACATTCAGGTATGGAATTTACCCATCGACATAGATTTTTCAAGTTCTCATCAGTGTCTGGCATTTGACACCGAATTATAAAGATTTTAAGAATAATTTAAGGGCAAAATTAGGTTGGTGCATGTGATGAACTACAGTACATAGTCTAACCATCGACACAGAGTTTCAAACTTTTATCAGTGTGTGGTATTGGATCAATGTGGAAAGAAGTAAGATGTCTCATGAAACTGAGGTTAAATCAATGTGAATCATTGATAGTGATAAATCATCAACAAGAAGCGGTTTAATCCTTGCATCATAGAGTTAGTTGAAATCTAGAATCAAAGATTCACCGTAAATTCGTTCAATGGTACCATGTCATACCTTAGTCTAGGAGGTCAAGGACATGAGAAAAAGATTGGCTAAGAGATGGGATAACATCCTTGCCTTATAAGAATTTTCATTTGTAACCAGGCAAGTATCTCTAAGTGAAGAATAGACATTGCTATCAGTTTTAGTACAAGAGATGGATGGCTCATTTGGTCTCAACAGATAAGATCATGACCTGTTGGGTTAAAGACTTCTAAAGTGAAGTCTCATTAGGTCATTAACTGCTAGAAGATACGAGACTTAAGGCATATGCGACAACATTTGTTCCAAGGACAATGAATTGCTAACAGTTACATACTTGGCTTATGAAATGCCACTGTCAAAACATGAAAGGTACAATGGTTTTAAAACGAGTTACTATACTTGATAAAGCTTAACTTGTAGCTTCAGAAACCATTTCTACATGCTTGTCAGTTTTTCAGCTCAGTTGCCTTTGTCGAACTTGATTGCTCCCCTTAAGCTTGTGGTTTAATTGTTTTAGACACTTTGTAAACACAGTGTATGATCATCATGACATTGCTCGAAAATTCCATTAAAGTGATGCAATGAATTTGAAAATCATGAACCAAATGTTTATTGACACATTTGGTAGATCGTAACCAAGACCCACTAGAACCAATCAATTCTAAGCAAAAAGAACCATCATGTGGTCTAATATCCATTTTACACTACTAGAAAAACAGCCTTTTACGACGCGCAATGCGTGTCGTAAAACGCTCAGACGACGCGCAAATGTGTGTCAAGAAAGGCCCTGTCATAACGAGAGACGACACGCTTTTGCGCGTCATCTATAGATGACGCGCATTTACGACGCGCATTTATGACACGCAATGCGTATCATTAAGGCCGCTGTCAAGAAAGGCTATGTCATAAATGAAGATGACACACATTTTTGCGTATCGTAATTTTTAAATTTTTTTTAAAAAAAATTGTTTATAGATTTACTAATTTTCAAATTAAATTTGCATTTCATGTCTCATAATAGAAAATAAAATACCATATACAAAAAATACAATCCATTGCACAAAAGTTAATGTCATACAAATAATCATTCCAATAGTAGACAAATTGATAAATCTCAAAGGGTTCAAAAATATGTTTGTCTTCTAATAGAACTTATACACAAGAAAGTACTGAATTTGCTATTGAGTTGAGATTGTATCCTCCCCCCAATGCCATAACTATCTTTCCATTGCTAAACTCCATCAACAAAACAAAACCATCAATCACCATTAAATAAACCTCAAGACAATTTTATGACTTATTTTTCAGAACATGGTGCTAACCTTCTTCAACATCTCAACCATATCTTCTCCTGACTTGAAGTTTTGTCCTGATCTATTAGGAGATTTATAATCCAAATCGTACATTGTACCTAATACAAGAAAATAAATAAATATAAATGTCAACTAATCAATCACATGAATATTTGTTCAGGTATCATAGAGAAAGTTGCTTTATATTTCAATGGCATGCCTATAACTAGGTAGATTTTTCAAACTTGTAATAGGGAGAATTTAAAAACAAAAGTACAATGATATTGTAAATAAGTTGATGAAAGTATGTTGTTATTTCTTGAATGCAGCCAATGTTGAGAGCATATGAGAGGAATGATAATTGACCAAATGCCATCCCACAGTTGACTGTATACACCTCTGACTTGCAGTACTTGAGGGCAATTTCGGAAATTCATAAATCATATCAGTAAATAACCTTAAAAAGATAAAATGAATGATTTTGATTTCTTACAGCCATGATGTCAGCAATGGCGTATGCTTCTGTTTCAGACCCCACTGTCTCCATTTTGTCATTCTACAAAAGAAAAAAAAATCAAAATATTTATTGACTTATTTCTTGTATTTAGTAATTTAACCTTAAAAGAAACATAAAAAAAAAAAAAAAATCACCTGTGTTCCGGATGAATTAATGTAAAGATAAATAGGCTTAGTTGGATTATCATAATCCAACCACATAAATTGAGCAACAAGAAGCTCAGTCACTGCAGGAACAATCCACAACAACCAAAATTATACTTAAATTCATAAAAAAAAAAAAAAAAAAAAAAAAATACATTGCTATTTCTTACAGGCATTCCTAGGTAACAAATACGAGCATCTAGAAGCAATGATGGAAGATCAGGAGGCCGGAGCACTTCTAGGTCTTCCGGAAGCTCTGCCGCCACCTCCGCGATACATATGCTAATATATAGTGTACGAATATTAAAAAAGGCTTTACAGCAGAAGCAGCTGCAGCAGCCACTCTTCTACTAACACCGGTGCCTAACACAAACCTCTCGCTCAAAGCTGCAGCCTCTGTGAGGCCATCTCTGGCTCTTTCAAACCCTTCTTTTGTATACTGACTCACCTGCACCACAAAACATAACTACATTATATGCATATGCATACTGACTCACCTGCACCAATAACCAAAAACAAGTAGGAAGAGAGAGAGAGAGAGAGAGAGAGAGAGAGAGAGAGGAGATGGTTCACAAGTCGCGAGGGTAGTTACTGATTTGCCCTTCCTCCAACATATCTTTATTGTTCACCTTGTAGCTTATTCGTATGCGCATCACAACTGATTTCTGCTCAAAACAACATTCATGAGTCAGTTGGGTGATAAAACAAGAGAGTAGTATTCTATATTGAATATAAAAATAAATAAATAAATAAACACCTTGCCACGTTGACTGTTGGTGACTCGTAATTTCTGTGTTATAGAACCACTGGCATTTCCAGGAAGAGTATTACTGCTAGCAGGCTCTAAATGCAGCTGTATGAACTGTGTGTGTGTGTGTGGATTGTAAATGAGACAATAAGTTAGAAAATAAAATTTCAATTTGGGTCCCTAGCTGATTTTTGCAATTTTGGTCCCAAAAGCCATTCTACTTGGACAAAGGAACAAAAACGTTATAAAAAGTCTCAAATAAGGACAAAAGTTGCAAGTGTGCTGTTATTTTGTAAGCATCATTTACCTGGATCAAAAAAATAATAAAATAATAATAATATACTTACTAGGTGGTGGTGGTGGTGTAGGAATTGGACCAAATCCGTCTAATAGATCTATCATAGGGGAAGCACCAGGTGTAGGTATAGGTGATGAAAGAGTATCCAAAGCACTAAAAGGTGAGGGTGAGGGTTTTTATTATTATTATTATTATTATTATTATTATTATTATTATTATTATTATTAAGTTGAGTCAAGGATAAGAGATCAGATGTAGATGAGCTTTTTTGAGTAGCAGGAGCAGGAGCAGGTGGTGACCCGCTTGACAATAGATCCAGCAGAACATCTGTACCACTTTTATGCCCATGTATTGTATTTCTACCTCCTGAAATCAAACACATACAAGTACATCAATATTAATATCTAATCTCTATTATGCACTCTATATTTTATGGTGCATTTAGTCAATTCATGGTTTCCCCGTGCTCTGATTATTATAACATCAAAGTTTAACTTTTTATAATAAAAAAAAGTAATAAAATTTAACCTGATTAATCATCTAAAACAAACAATAATAACCTTCAATAATTCATAAAACAGTAACATACCAGTTTTCTTCTGTTCATTTGCAATTGTTGGAAGTCTTTAAGTCTCGATAGATTACGGGTCGTTCAGCATTGTGAAGGAAGGCTAAGCCTTTTGCTGCCCCAAAAGCAATCATCATTCTTGTTGGCCATGATAATGGCGCACTTGTTTCTGAGGATTTCAAAAATAAGTTAACAGTATACAAAATCTGGTGTTCTTTCACAAGTTTTTTAGACATTTAGAATGCCAGGAAGGGTAAAATAGTCATTTATAAATTTTTAATGTCTTTACTCTTTGTTAATCTTATTTGTATTAACAGAAATATATAAGCACGTTTCCCGCACACTAAGCTATCAACAACCCTATTTCCTTAGAAATATTTACAATAATGAAACTATGCTAGATCAGTATTAGCTTTTACATATTTGTGATCAGAGTACAAACATGACAAAATGATAAAGCACAATTGAACTATTAAAAGGGCAAGAAAGACAGAACAAGTCAGATATAATAAACAATTTTGACCTAGCTGCTAAAACATAATGAAGGGATTGTCACCCTTCCTCTCCCTCTTGCAATTACCACTAAATCACTAATAGTTCTAATACAGTTACCAAGAAAGGCTTGTTATGATCATTGTTGGTATTTAAGTTGGTATTACAACTATCATGGCTGAAGATACCATATACTATTTGTTATGTAGAGTATTGAAGTTAGGAAAAAGGGGGGTTTGAGACGTTTGACATAAAGAAAAAAAAGATATATATGGAAGGAAGTTGCATACTTCGAAAGAGATGATTTTCAAGGCTTCCTCGAAACATGAACTCATAAACAAGCAATCTGTGGTCATCTTCACAGCAATACCCAATCAATTTCACCAAATTGGGATGTCTGAGCTGACCAAGGAAATTAACTTCAGTCTACAACACAAAACGCCATTACAGATATAGATTAGAATGGTATAAGGAAGATAAAACAAAACAAAGAACTAGTTGCTGCAAGGACAGAGAACTAGAGGAGCTTACAAGCCATTCTATGTGGCCTTGAAGACCCTCCTTGTTGAGAACCTTAACAGCAACAGGAAGAGATTTGAGACCAACCCGAACATTCTCATCAATATAGCCCTTGTAAACAGTCCCAAAAGAAACAGCCCTTAAGTCAAAAAAGAAATAGCACCTGTTATAATCTTGATCTTTTTTAGACAAGTTGTAATGATCGAATAACATAAATAATGGGAGCCATGGAACCATGAAGACCTTCAAGAAACCAAACCCACATAAAAATCCCTATCAGAAAATATAAAATTTTACAAAAAACGTAAATATTTCAATAACCTCTAAAATCGTATTCCTTCAAAACCATATAGGTTAAAATTGCATTTAGCTGCCATAGAATGTGCTGAATCAAGAAAAACATACATTCATAAACATAACTATACGAAGGAGGTGGTGGAGGACGGACAAGCTAGGGCATATAAGAGTGGCGCGGGGCGGTGAAGCAGTAGTGTAGGCCACGAACCACAAATGAGGCACGATTCTGTCTCCCAAAATTCTGAATCGATAAACTGTGGGATAGACAACGAGATTTTCTGATTTTTGGGAATGAATCAGAGCAGGTATCCTTAGAGGATTTGAGTTTAGGTGACCGTCGTTTGTCTCGGGGAAGGGAGAAGAATCGGTAAGTGCCAAAGGGAGATAGGAACGAGAAAGAATGGGAAATCTAGATATCGATTTGTTTGGAATGAGAAACTGAGACACCATAGCATCCCCAAAGCATCCCCAAATCAAAGGCCCCAATGGAGATTCATAAGCATCTAAATGAAGAAAAAAAAGGAGAAGTGAAACTCTTGAAGAGGGAAAACCTTGATGATTGTAATGGAAACGATATCGTCGCATCCATTTGAATCACTAAAATAATGATGAGATATAGTGGTCATACCTTCCGTTAGATGTGGTGGAGTTTCTGTTGAGCCCTGGTCGCCATAGAGATGTAGAATGGAAGGAGGCGAGATCTAGGGTTCGAGTATGAGAAAGAATTATTATAGAGTCGCCGGTGATCGGATGTCATCAGTCGTACTCCAGACTCTCAGATCCTTGGGTTCGATGGTGAAGGCGACGACTTAGGATTTGCAAAGAGAAAGGAAGGAGAGAGTGATCGGCCGGTGGAGATGTAGAAGAGAGAACGTGCAGTAGAGGAAGGCGGGGCAACTTCTTGACAAAAAGCCCTAAAAAAGGAAGGCGGGGTTTTTAAGTAATTGGGATTTCATTTTTCCCTCCGGATGGAACGCGCCTGCTATTAAAATTTATAAAGCGACAGCCTTAGACGACACACATTTTATTATAGGTGCCCTCCGTGTTTTTTTTAGACACTAATTTCAGGGCACGCAAAAATGCGTGTTCTAAATCCTTTAAATTTTAAAAGAGATGACATTATTTTTAGGGCGCCCACAAATGCGCGTCCTCTATCAGCGAGTGTCATTGTTTGCGCGTCATTAAAAGGCTGTTTTCTAGTAGTGTTATCACTTGTTCAACTGCATATCAGGACCTGAAACCAAAGAACTTTGAAAATACAAAAAAATATGACGGTTAGATACTTTAGGGGGTAAATGACTTCTAACGTTCATAGATAATTTGAACACCAGACACGACATTAAAAGTTTTTCCCTCGTAATATTTCTATCAAGTTGATAGGTAACATGCACTTTGAAAATATTTATTGAGAAATCTTGCTCAACACTTGTTTTTGTATTTTTACATTTAAAACATAATTATAGAAACAATATAAAATATAAAATTAAAACAAAACAAAATAAATAAATTTAATGACTAGAAACGAAAATAAACAATCTAACTTAAAAAAAACCGATTGAAATTTTGAAAAATCAAATTAATTTTTTATTTTCATTTTTTTTAACTAAAGGAAACAAATTAAAACTTTGGAAAAACAAGTTTTATTTCTTTATTTATTTTTTGTTTTTATATTTAAATAAAAGAAACATAATAAAAAAACGTTTTTTAAATAAAACTTGTCTCATAGTTGCTTGATTTGAACGTTGATTTTGTCTTTAACATTCGAGACTACCTTTTATTATTTACCAATATATCTTTTCTTGAGCAAACCACCTTTATTATTATTCGATTCCTTTTAGGAGGCAGTAAAAGAGCAAACAATTAGAGATAGAGTGGGTAAAGAATCACATTGGGAAATAATGAGATATGGGGCCCGATTTAACTAAAGAGGTGGTGTATAAGTTGTCGATTAAGAGAGGTAATATAAAGAACTAGCTTTTGACTTTTATTTTGCTCACTCTAATGACATTTCATGCTATCGAGCGCAACCCAGTTTTAAGGCAGAACAAAGACAAAAAAAAAAAAAAAAACTTTCAATTTAATAGCACATAACACTTCTTGTTTCTTTTGGCATTACCACTTGAAGGTCCATGCCTATATCCTTTGACAGTCATGATAACCCCTACAAATGAAGCAAAGTGTGATTTCAGCTTTCATTTGCCCTTTTGGTGTCATCCGGACAAAAATACCCATGGAGGTAAGCTGGACATGCCATGGACATGTCATTCAAAAATCACCATGTGCCTACGCTTTTTTTACCCCTCGTGGTTAAGCAATTTTTAATAGACTTCTAACCGGTATACCCCTATTACCTTTATCTTTGACATTTCGTTCCTGATAGAGACCAATTCGAGATGGTCAATCTCCAAGATAAGGCCAATTTGAGATGACTAATCTCCCAAAGAAATAAGAAACACAAACATAGATACTTTAGATAATTCTTTTCATCTAAAATGAAAATACATGACTTCTTAAATAGTAAATAGAAAACACCACTACTACTAGAATTTAGGAATAATGCAAAAACATGGTAAATGAATACGTGGGTAACTAACATGGAAATACTAAGTCAAATTATAAGAAAATATGCATGCACTAAACGTGGGGAAATTCAACGGTTCACATAGTGGGGAATTTCCATGCAAATACTAACAAACAGAAAATGGATCGTAGTTAGTGTTGCAAAGGCTTGTCCATTTAGCGCATAATATATTTGGTGGATCCGGCCATGGTGGAGGCCTTATGGATGACTTGGGACTCGTATCAGTTCCCTTTTATCAAGACATGTAGCTACCAATGAGAACAGTAGACAAAGCATTTGAATGTCTTTTCTTTGAAAATTGAAACTTTGACTTTTTCTTTAAAGAAAAACAGAAAAGAACTTGACAGACAAGCATATATAGCTACCCTCTTAAGAACGTACATGCACCATTAATGTACCCAGATAGAATTAAAGAATTCCAGTCCATACAGCCTGCTTCCTCATGAATCATCTTGGAAGTTGAGAATTCCATGAGTTCCTTAGGTACAATATCTCTTGCCATCAGACATGTAAGCCATGCTTGCCCATCTTGAAATCAACGCTAAGGGATAAGTTATACGATATTTTGAACTTGAAGTCACATTTTTACCTTCTTTTGCTGAACAAGATCTGTACTTAATGATAACCAAAAAAATTCATCAAGAAAATGTGACAGTGCAGGACTATGCTTGCATTGAAAAATGTCCAAGAAAATGACAAAAGTGCCCTTGATTTTCATTCATTTATATAAGAATAAATACAACGTTGGATTCTTATGACCAAAAATCTCTTTCCTATTTCTCCAAAGATCCTCGTGGAGAGAGATAGATCCATCTTTCTTTCTTTGCTAATGGACCCTCCTGCCATCTATACATGAATTTCTGTTAGGCTGCATGGAGTGGTCACGAGTGATTCTAGTGTGGAGAAGATGCCATGTCATTATTTACCCTTTCCACAACCTTGTGGAAATGGTATTCACTAGTGGTTAAGGTGTGAAGAGGCAAAAAGAAGGAGAGAGAAAAAGAAAAAATGTGAGGGGAAGAAAAGCTAGCCAATGAGATCATCCGTCTTCATGCGTCTTCGCCAAGACGCCACAACCAAACCACCGGGGCTAGGAAATGGTGTTCACGCATCTTGGCCCCTCCACATCAGCTTTTCACGCGTGAAAAGGCTTCCACTCCTGATAGCCTTATCAAGAGCACCCTACGTGGTTATGCCTCCTTTTGTCTTCTTATCTTAAAAAGATGTACAAAAGATACAACTAGCAACTCCTTTCACTCTTATCAAATTGAGTAGACATGGCAAGCCTTCTTCGTAGCTTTATTTAGAATGGACACAAGATATCAAAAGCCTTAACAACTCTTTTCTTTTCATGCACTTAGATGCCAGCCATGCATTTGAAGTCCATTGACAATGTATTGACTTATGCAGTTTCATCTTGACCATCTTCTTGAAAAAGGTAGTACATCTTCCTTTCTTGAGAAAAAACCAACGGCTATATCCTTGATACCATCTTCCCAAGAAATAAATAAAGGAGACAATAATGCATGCTGGAAAATAGTGTCAGAAAATCCTTTATAACACCCCATGTTCACATTTAAAATAATAAAACCATTTGATACTACTTAAAGCTTTTGCATCTACTACATCTTAACAAATCTTGTACTAAAATCTTTTGACAAAAGATAATTGAACAAATCTTCCAAAAAAATTAAGGATCATAAATAACTAAAACAATATAGACACACTTTTTCATGCTTTTTAAATAAAAATTACACTCTAACTTTTTTAAGAACTAATAATAACACATATAGACATACATTTCTTCGGTGAGAGACAACTAATGTTGGCTACGAAGAGTTCAATCTCTCTCACATCTTCAAAACTTAACAATTAACCTTAGGGACCCATCTGAGATTGGGTTTAGAAACATACCTTACTTTTGAATGTTTCTGATAAGATAAAGAACAACCATCTTGAGGTTTCAGAACACTTTTCTTCGAGACTTTTGATTCCAATATATCTCTACAACTTCATTTGTTGGCTTCATATCAGAATCAAGAGATGTACTCTTGGGAACTCATACTTTTTTCATCTTTGTGGGTTCACAAATTGATTTCTTTGGAACCCAAGTCTTCTTTGATTATGGATTCTCTTCTTTTTCTTTTTATGTTTTGTTCTATATAAAGACCTATTAAAACAAGAACATACTTTAGGAAGTTTACCAACATGAGATCTTTTGATGTTTGGGGTTGGAGCTGGAGCTTGAGTCTTGACAGGGTGAGATGAAGTCTTCACAACATGAGATATCTTGACAGTCCCAAAATTCTTGCCAGCGTGAACTAATTTGTCAGCGTTTGAAGTCTTGACAGTGCGAGACTTCTTGGTAGTGCAAACTGGAGTCGTTCTAGTGTGAGGTGAAACTAGGGAAGAGGGTCTTTTAAGAATGGTAACTGGTTCGGATGAATCTATTTGAGAATGAAGTAGAAACTAGGGAACAAGCAGTCTTTGTTTTTCTCGCACCCGTCTTGCACTGTTACTTTCTCTGCACATGAAGTATAAACATTATTATCGTTCACCTCAATATTCTCAGTTTTGTCGGATGTTCAGTCTTAACTGAAACAATTACAGCAGGCTGACCATGTTGAACATATTTTTCTGTCTCTATGGTCTCAGAAGCCGGAGTATAGTTATCGTTGAAAGGAGGTGGTACAGTATGATACCCTAAACCCTCTTTCTGTTTATCTTTCCATTTTAATTGTTTTTCTATCATAGATTCAACTATCTCACTTGACACATAGAATTTCTTAAAGTTCAATTCAACATCTTTAAATTTAGCTTTTAACGCATCAAGTTCAGTAGTTAAGTTGACAGTTTTCTCTTTGGAAAAACGATAGTGAACACGTTTTGTGATATATTCATCTTTAATTCTAATTAGGTATTTATTTTGTGCTTCTAGTTTTTCTTTAAGTGATTTATTTTCTTTCTTAATTTCATAGATTTCATTTTTAAGATCAAAAACCTCTCTAACTAATAATTCATTTTGTTCACGGTATTTATTAACTTTATCTACACAAGATTTACAACATGAGACTTCACTAACCTCTTTGGTGCTAAAAGTGGTGATTGAACTGTTGTAATAGCTCATTATTGACTAACAGAAAAAATATGATTGTGCAATTTGATCTTAACCGAAAACCAAAAATAAATGCTCTTTGACCGAAAACACCAATAGTCAACACCCTGTTGACCGAGAACCTTGAAGGTTAACTCTTTGACCGAAAACAGTTGACCGAGAACGAAATTTCTTGGCCGAGAACACTTCCAAGCAGAGAACTTTATATCTTGTTACCGAGAACGTTATTCAGCTGCCGAGAACACTAAAACCTAACCGAAATCAAGGTTTTGATCGTGTTTCCTTATCCAATGAATCTCAAATTTGGTAATTTACCAAAAACGATCTCGAACGCAATATCCTCCAAAATTAGTGAAGAACACTAAGAAAATGATGAACACGAAGAACAACAACAATTATTTTCGTCAAAAAGAACTCAAAAACACCAAAAGAAACTTCAAGAAACGGTGCCAAATCGATTGATGCTAATCCTAGCTCCGATACCAATTGTAAAACCCGATCTAGGTATCAATCTAAAACACGAGATTGGTGCGGAATCTCAATCAAGTGAATGACACAAATCGTAAATATGAAATAAGAACACGATGTTGAATCTTCAATGCACACTATATTAATCAATAGTCTAGTACATAAGAGTCTTTATGTCTCTCGGTTCTCTCTGTCTCTCTCAAAATCTCGAAATCAACAACTAGAATGACTAACTCTAAACGCGGTTGAATCAATACAATATATACTAATACCTAATTACTAAAGCCCAACCCAACCAAAAACATCATTAAGCCCACCGAAATCACATGGTGAATATTTCGGTCCTAAACCGAGAACTCTAAAAGCTATGTAAAGTAAAGTATAAACCACAAATCATATCCCAACACTTTTCATTTCTTTGTTTATTGTTGTGTGTTATTAGTATGGTTTTCGTTTCTAGGGGGTTCTCTCTTTATAATTATGTATATATTGTTCTTAAGTGAATTTTAGGTGTCTATAAAGATTTTATGAAGTTTCTTTTATATTGGGCCCATATCTAGCTTTTGGTTTTCTTTCATGTTCCTTATTCAGAAGTTTGTAGAAGCGATTTTGAGATTTAACAATGGTTTCTAATTCAATTAGAAGGCTGGCTTGTAGCTTGTTTGGAGACAAATAATTAGGTTCTTCTACAAATACACAGTTTGTATTTTTTTTTCTATGTGGTGCATCTTATTTGATCGGCATGTTAAAAATCAAGGCTCCTTTGAGTTGTATAGTTGTAATGATGCTCAAGTCATTAATTTCTCAAGGTTTTTAGTTCTATATGTATCAAATGTTGTTTATTGGTGGCTATTGTTTCAGGTTTTTTCATGTATATATCTTTTGTATGTTGTCCAACTTCTAGTTGCAAGTTCCTTTCTGTGTTGTAATAAAAATCATTTATCTAAAGCAACATGAAGATAACACTATGTTGTTTTTCATATTTGACAAACGAACAATCTGACAATTAATTTTGTGAACTACTATCAAATCATTAGTAGTATACAAAGGAAACAAACCAAAAAACAATATTGAAACTTATATGTAGATATGTCACAAATAATAAATTAGATTATTATTAAAATTATGCAATTTTGTCTAGAAAATCAAATTGATTCTTTACGATTAGATATGATTATAAGAAATGAAGAACAAAACTATCA